AATTGAAGAAGGAGTAAATTTATAATTAAAAATAGTAATTGAAGTTAAACATGTATTCTATAGTGGTAAAGGAGCATATAGTTCGAATTTGGTCAAAAATAAACTTAAAATGAAGGATGAATTAAAGAATGAAGAAATTAAACAAAGTTGAGGGATTAAATTGAAAAAAATAAAAAAAATGTTACCAAAAAGAATAATTGAAGATACAAATGTGTGAAAATCATGAACAAAATCGCAAAACTTTAAAAATACTCAACTAATTTTTTTGTTGTTCGATTGATTCAAAATTTTCAAATTTCAATTCGATTTGAACTTAAATTTTAACTCAATGATATGCGAATAAATTAAATTTAAAAAAATATTTTTTTTCGATCTGAGCTTTACTCCCTACTCTGCTCTATAACTCAAATAGTCATCCGAAAGAACAAACATGTAAAGAACTAGCAACTAATGGCCCGATAACTCCTCTTCTAACGATACTTTAAACAAAGAATAATTATTAAAACCAGTGGTGGTCTTACCATGCATCCGTGTCAGATGAGTACCTAATGACCCTGAGTCCTGACGCGTCGTTTAGAAAAATCTTACCGACTCCACTGTCTTCACCTACATCTGTCTTCGCACCATCCCTCATCCGCTGAAAGCATCAACACCTCGCATGAAAACCTCACTCAGATCGATGTCGAACGAGTCCCCAAACTCCGGTCTACACTTCTTAAAAGTTCCATAATCTTTCGACCTAAAACCCCTCTCATAAAACCCTTGATCAGGGTGGGAATAGGCCAGGCCAAAGCCGGCCTACAAATGCCTAAGACCTGACCTATATAAAGTCTGGTCTAGTCTGATCTATTTAATAAAAATGCTAGGCTCGAACCTTTTTAAAAAACCTATTAAATTAAATAGGTCATGCTTAGACTTGTTAAAAATCTTTATAAGCCTGATAGGTTGCCTATTTAAAGTGACTACTTTGTAAAATGCGTTAAGTTAGAGTGACTTAGTAGGGACTTTACTATAAAATTAGTGACTAAACTGAAAATATTAAATGTTTATTGTAAATAGGCTTTTAAACAGGTCAGGCCGAGTTAAAATAAAAGTCTTTAACATACAACAGGTCAGACTCAGACCTACAAAAATCATCGTAAGTCAGACTTAGACCTATTAAAGCCTGGCCTGACCTATTCCTACCCCTACCCTTGACGTTCCCTCATTTGACCAAAGCCTACGAGGATAGTTGCAAAAAGGCCAGTAGTGTATCCACCTCATCCAATTTTTTTCCAACAAAAGTTTTTTCCTAATCATATGTTCCCACATTCAGCCACACACTCCCACAAACTCGTAAACCCAAACGCAGCTCGCACCCACTTACAACATTTACGATCTTAAACCTGTTAGGGCTATCCCGCCCAAGGCAAAAGTTGAATACGTTTCAAACGAACCAATCCTCTTTTCTTTTACTCCACAAACTGTTGCAGTTTCTTCCTATCTAACTATATGAGGGCAGTCCTCGTGATGTGACCAGGCACACTCCATAGCAGAGGAAAGCCAAAACCTCCAAGTAACTTTCAAGTCCCCTTAATATACTTCGTGTGCTCCACTCTTGGTATGAATTCACATAAAACTCAAAAGGCCTGGATTAATCTTCTAAGCTACTTTATTCATAGTAAAAGAAAGTTCAAAGCATAGACACTGATGGCATCTGCTTCTTCCTACCCAATGATAATCCACCAAGATACTCCGATCAACTGACTCAATGCCAGTCCATAGGTGTTAAGCATATCCTTCACAAAACTATGCATCGACAGATGAAACACAGCCTCCAAAACAAACAACATAATGAATTACTCACGATCCCCACCTATGATCTCATTGTAATCACTCAAGCAGTAAACACCAGGGTATCAAATAGCGTTCGCGATCACGTTTTCAGTCGCGTCGCGTTTATCGCGGTTGCAGACATAACGATGCCATCGAGTTCACAGCGGGTGTCACGGTCGTGAATTTTTTTAAATTTTACAACTTATCTTAAAACATAATAAAAATAATTATAATTATGAGAAATCATTTTTAATGAATTTTAAAACGTTTTCTTAGCGAAATTGATATATATATATATATATATAATATAGTTTAACTAAATAGAAGATTTTAAAAAACCAATGATAGACCAGCATTAAAGAATGATAAACTAAATATAAGAGCTAGCTTTTGGAAACTTAGAATGTCCGGACAGCTGAATCGTTTAGAGGGGAATGCTAATTATCTCCCAGCCGGGCTAAACCAACATTAAAGAATGATAAATACAAAATGGGTGTAGGAAGATTACAAGGTCCACCCTACACTCACTTGGTCACTCCATCAAATGATTATTTTGCTGAAAGCCCAAGCAAAAACACAACCTGTTGCCCACTCTTTTTTGTTTAAATTCATTACATTAGGTTGATAGTTTCTCAACCCATTTCACTTTTTTTCGGTTTTTCCCATCCCCACTCCTCAATTTACTCTTCTTCACCCCCACACCCATTTCACTCTTTTTCAAGTTTCACTCATTTTTTTTTGTTAGATATTTCTTTTTCCTAAACAATTATTCCTAAGCTAAGCAGCAAAAAAAAACTTATAGATTATTTGATTTTTTAGTTTTATCTTCTTAAATGGAACCGGGAAGCTCGATGCCTTGATCTACTCTTTACCGGCGGCGAAACTCGACGGACAGAAAACTTCCACCCAATAACTTTATTTTTCCGGCTCTTCCCTTCCCGATTGATTTTTGGTAAGATATGTGGGTATTTGATGTTCTACCGTCCACTAAATAACCTCTGTTTTGTAAGCTACTAAACTTGTAAGTTGTAAGCCATTTTTTCTTTCTTTTCACTTTTCAGTATACTTTTGGCTTGAATTTAATAGAGATTATTTATTTCTTTTAGCTTTTGAAGACCGTAACTTGTAGGGAATATATTCCCTTCATTTTTATTTTTGTTTTTTATATGGTTTATTGCAGTGTTGTTTTTGTCTTGGAATATAGGTTGAATAACGATGATTGTGTCTTGTTATCGGCGTAATCGTTCGTTTTCTATTAAATTACGGACACAATTGACTAAGATTAATGTGAATTCGTGATCCACCGCGAAAACTGGTTTCAAAGGTGGCGTGATCGCAATATCGCGACCGTTATCATGTTTTCGAAACGCTATTTAATACCATAATAAATACCTAAAAGGATTTCGAACTCAAATTTATAGTTTGTCCATCGCAAATCACGACTCATTAGCAAACTCTTGGCTTCATTCCAGCCAGTCTTGCACACGTAGAAACCTCCAATCACCAGAGACGACTGATTCACCCCTACTCTTTCTCTAGATTCTTCACTCCCATCAAAGTTCCCTTCTTCACTGTATTAAGAAGAAATTTCAAAAAGAAAGAAATTTTGTAGGAAAAATTACTGTAGAACAGAAATCAAAGGTAAAAGAAAATGGAATTAGGATTTTTCCTTTCCCCTTAAATAATCAGAGAATGCAATTCATTCTCTTAACGGTCATAATCCGTGTCAATGATAGGTAACACACATAGGAGCTTCCAATTATTTTAAAAGCAATCATCACGATGATTTCAAAAAAATAACACCATTAATGCAATAAAGGCCTTCTTTTATAAGTCTTAGATAAAACCACTTTATGACATTTTTACGATTAAAGAGAGAGAAAGTTTATACATCATCTGAAAATCGCACCTCTATTATCAATCCCTGTTTATTGAGACTTCTGGAGTTCCAAGAAGCCTCCAAAATCCAATATCATCTAGACTACTACAGTTTTTTGACATGACCATTGATTGACTCACGTGATTTTCCAGAGTTAAATTTATTATTTGAAATCTAAATATATTTAATATGTTAATCTAATTATCATCTTAGGACTAATACCAACACTAAAAGCATATATATATATATAGGCCACCATGCAAGACTGGAAGAAGTATCTTTTCCTCTCTAAGAACCAACCTCCCTCATTGTTTATCATCTTTCTCGTACCAACAACTTTATACTTTCTTCATAAAACTACTGTCTGCGACTCTCCACTTAAATCAAAAGGGATGATTTGTGAAACACAACTACAATCCCATTTTATCATCAACAAAAAATTTCTAGGTTTTAGGGCTAATATGAATCAAATTGAGAAAAGAAATCAAATTTAAAACCTTAACGTTATGTTATCCATTTATTTAAATACAACTAAGAATTATTCCTTTTATATATAAAAAGGGATAATTCTAATCCCGTTTTTTAATAGCATGTGGTTATTATGAGGTAATATTTGTTGAAATTTTTCTTAATCAATTGACAACGCATACCTACCTTAAAGTTGCAATTGTTTGTAGCTAAAACCTATAAAAAGAATAACATTTTCTTTTATCAATTAATCTAATTGATGGATTCAAATTTACCGTATCAGGCGCTGGTAAATGAACCAATCTTTTATGATTTACTTTATATATGTTTCGTCGTTGAAGCTTATGCTTAAACCAACCCAACTAAAAAATTGGGCTTGAAATTCCAACTATCAATCACAAAGAAAAGAGTAAAACCAAAAAAGAAAAAAGAAAAAACAAAGAGGGGAGATGGTGACAATCATCAAATAGCCGACTTTATTGCAATCGATGAATTCTTTGATTTTCGGGTTTCAAGTCTCCATCAAACAACTTCAACCTGCACATCCTCAAATTCTTATATTACTGGAAACAGGGGGCTGCCTCTTGGTTTGTGAATTACAATGGAATTAATCGCTGTCAACGAACCAAACCTACACGAAATAGTATTTGAAGCTGAGATAATTTTTTATTCTTGAGCAACAAATTTGTGGTTTTTAATGAAATTGGTTGCTATAGCTTACCTACTCATTTCTTTGTAAACAAATATATAGCCAGGTAATGGACTTATGCCACCACGTTCTTTCCACTAATATTTAACTCAAAAGAATTCATCATTATCAACTACTCTAGCTTCGGAGACACAATATTAGACCAAATTCATGCCATAAGCTTCAAGGAAACAGAAAAAAAATGAAGGCATCTTCCTTTTCCATTACCTTCTTCCTTGCCCTACAGGCCTTGTCAGTCTTAAAGGTGAATTCTCAAGGGACAGATTCCTGCAATTCCAACCTAAACCTTAATCTACCCTTTAATACTTCTTCTCTTAACTGCCTTTCTGTGTGGAGCCGACATGATTTCATCCTCAGAGTCAGTTAAAATTTTCGTTGTTTACTTTTGTCATATACTCGGAAGAGTTGATTACCTATCGTATTAAATGCTTGAATTCATCCGTTGTGCAGTACGTCCAGACCTCGTCGAACGTTTGGAGCTTCGTTCTATCGGCGCCCGATACGAATTCCTTCGTCGGAATGGGGTTTTCGAGCGACGGACAGATGGTGGGATCAAGCGCAGTGGTTGGTTGGATTTCAGCCGACGGCACCGGGACCATGAAACAATACTTTCTCGGAGGACAGCGCCCGAATTTAGTGATCCCTGATGAAGGGAACTTGACGATCGTAGAGAATTCCACGTCCATCACTTCACAATCTTCGCGCGTATACATGGCGTTCCAGTTGAGCAGCAGTCAACCGCGGTCCCGGGTGTTGTACTCCGTCGGGCAGATTGGAGTGATCCCATCGTCGCCGGGCTTTGCTTTGGCTGAACACCGTGACAAAGTCTCCACTCGCTTGAATTATGTTACAGGTAATTGTGGACTTATTCCTATTTTTCTAATTCCTAATTCATTTTTAAAATATATTACATAAAATATCCAAGTAGATTAAATTTATTGAATAAACCAACTTAAATTGGAAAAGGAAAGATAAAACGTTACGAAATAATTAGAAATTTATTTATTTTATAATTTTTCATTGGATAATAATTTTAGGTTAAAGTACACAAATGGTCTCTCAATTATAGTGTGATACTTTGTTAAGTTTCATAACTATTAAAAGTTATAAAATGATCTCCTAACTATAGGGCGAAATTTTGTTGAGTCCCCTGACTATTAATAGTTACAAAATAGTCACTCTACTGCTCGTGTGTTCCAAACTTGTCTTTTTTCTTTAAAAAATGATAGTCGTCTTATCTGAAAGTTAACATACTGATTTATACATGATAAATCATATTTTAATGATGTTTACTAACATCGACGTTACTTTCAAACACTGGTTTGACGACATAATGTTTCAACTATTGACTCGATGACATAATGCAAACGGAGAGTTGATCCATAAAATACAATTCAAACGATTCTAGAATCATATTTTATCATATCACAGTCAATAGATTAATGTCAAGTTCAAACACTACCGATTTTTTTAAAGAAAAATGACGAGTTTGTAACATATGAATAGTCTGATGACTATTTTATAACTTTTAACATATAAATAGTCTAGTGACAATTTAATACTTTTAATAGTCAGAGGACTTAACAAAGTAACATACTATAATTGAGGGACTATTTTGTAAACACGTGCTTTGCTTTCCATCTAAAAGATTCGGCTGGCAACAAAATCGATTTCGTCTAATTTTCAATTTGAAGTTCTACAATTAAATAAGATTGCACGATTTTAAAGGATATTATAAACCGATTAAATATTAATATAAAAATAAAAATTTTCAAGATATTTATATATAAATTATTATTTGATATGTCAGTGAAAAAATTATTTATAAGCAATGATTAGATAATATCAAAAGTTTGATTATGTATTCTTAGGTTTTGAAATGTACTTAAAAATAGAGTTGACATCATTTGAATATCGATTGTAATTTTTTTTATTAACTGTTTCTTAAACAATAAATTATATATTATATGAAAATTATTTTATATGTATAAAATTTAGACTCAATAAACAAATATATTTGGATATATTTTATATATTGAAATAATCTTAAACTCTAACATATAAATTCTAAATTATAAAATCTAAATAAGATCAATATAATCTCGTTTGTCTCGACCCCCAAATAGCCTACCAAAACTCATTGCCAAAATTAGTTGTCATACTTCATATATTGTTAGTTTATTAGGTCATTGACCAAGGAAAATTATCTATTATTTGCGTACCTTTCAAGCTACCAAACACATATTTTGAATCGTATAATTGAAGAAATTCATCATTTCCCCCTCAAGTGGGGAGTTGGTGTACCCTCAATATATTAGATTTAATAAACATAAAATTTACATTATCCATATCTTAAATATAAAAATATAAAGAAAAAAAATTATGGTTCTTTTTTAGGATGAAATTGTTTGGTGGATTTCATGGTAATTCTATGGTACAGTAGTTTAATTTAAATTTAATTTAAGACGATTTCAATATAAAGTTTATTATGTTCAATCTAAAATGTATATAATTTGTAATATTTCCGATTGCAACCAAAGAGTTACGTTATAAAGTTTTTGGATTTATAATCGAAAATGTTATGAAAAAATTAACATTTTTTTATTGTAATTTGTTTAACTTAAAAGTTGTTTTGTCCAACCTAAAAAGTTAAACTCTTAATAAAATTTTTCGTCACCATTGATTTTTATCATTTTTTAATAAGTTGTATTTTAGAATTTCCTTGGATTTCACGGGATGTAATGCGACAGGTACAACGAGTGCAACAAGCAGCCCACATTCGAGACTGAGGAAGAGCCACGGAATACTAAACATGGTGAGTTGGGGTATTCTGATGTTAATCGGAGCAATAGTTGGTCGTTACTTCAGGCAATGGGATCCACTCTGGTTTTACGCTCACTTACTCATTCAGTCCTGCTCCTTCCTCCTCGGAATCTCCGGTATCATTACCGGATTCATTTTGGAAGACCGTCTGAGTGTCGATGTCGACACCCACAAAGCTCTAGGGATCTTCATTCTTGTGCTCGGATGCCTCCAGGTTTGTCTCTAGACACTAAATACAACAACTGTTGAAGTCTAATCTACATATACTCAACCAAAGACACATATATATTCGGTTTAAATAGAGTTGAAATCAAGAATAGACTGAGGGCAGTGTTATGGGGTACGATCATATTTTAATGTTCTAATTTCATAGTCCCTAAATCTTTAGTGTAATTCTCTACGTTTGTATCTCTGAAACAGATTCAGCATACGATCCTGGTCGAAGTCTAAATCTTATACGAGTGATTGAATTTTGGATGGTGTAGGTAATGGCAGTATTTGCAAGGCCAGGGAAGGAATCAAAGCTGCGTAAATACTGGAATTGGTACCATCACAATGGGGGCAGGATTCTGATGGGATTTGCCATTGCGAATGTGTTCTATGGGATTCATTTGGGAGGCGAAGGTACAGCATGGAATGCTAGCTACGCTGTTGTTATTTCTATCTTATTTTTGGTTTCTCTTGTTCTAGAGTTTAATTTGTGGAGGAAAAATTGATGTCTTGTATTTGTACTTAACTTCACCTCTACTACTCTTTTATTTTATTATTATTGTTTTTTTAAGAGTCTATGTACTAATTAATTAATGTTTTTTATATAATAAATAATGTATTTAATCATTCATCTATTCTCGCGATTTTATTTTGACCATCCAATTATTTTTTTTTCAAAAATATACCTAACATTACATTTTGGTTCCGTTTTAATCACCGGTCGTTAAAAAATTAATTGTGATTCTAGTGTGCCACCATAATCATCACTGAAAAAATAAAAAATTGTTGCATCAGTAGTTCTATTTATTTTTTAATGGCGCATGACCGAAACAGAACCAGAACGCGTACAAGTAGGTTTGATTTTAGAGAAAAATTATGAGAATAAACGAGTGATTAAATATGTAGATTACCCTTCTTATTATTAGTCCTCTCCTTAAAAGTTGAGCAACGATTCGAACAGATAAAAAAAAAAAAACTGAGGAGTTTTACAATTTATAGTATAAATGGGTGCAAAAAAAAAATTATAGCATAAATTATACGAATGGTTCCTTAATTATGTACACCTTTTTGTTAACTGACTTTAAAAATTTATAATACAGTCATTCATATTATTGACAAGTTTATTTTGATCACCAGTCCCGTCGATTACGTATCATTAGTCCTTAATGACATAATAGCTTGACATATTAATTTAAAGGCTAATATTTTATTTGATTCTTATTTTATATAATTAAAATAGTGTTTCAATATTTTTAGAAAATTTTAATGATAATCTAAAAAATAGAAGTATTAAAAAATTCTTAAAAAATGTGACCATTTCCGATTAATCTGTCCATACTAGAAGGTGAACTACAAATTGTTAGTTTGATCGCATCATTAATTAGTTAACTGTAGTGAACTATTATTCATCAATATTAATGCGATAAGTGTGGACCAACCTTCAACCTAAAAAATCAATCGTGATAAAAAAAAATCGAAAATTTTGTAAACCTGCCCCCAACCTCCAAGCTGAAAATAAAATAGAATGAAGCAAATCTACCTTTAGACCTAGTGGAGCTCTAAACAGGAATATGGAAGGGAGATGTTGCTCAGTCAAGCAACAACTAACAAGAGGCGCAAAAATTCTTGTTGTTACATAAAATAACTCAAAATAGGTTACACAGGGAGTACACCCAAAAATAACTTCCCAAACATTCCAGAGACCTTACTGCACATACACCTAGTTCCTAAATTTATTGGGCTTAAAAAACCTATGCGAATAGTCTCCTATGTTTTCGGTCTGACCGACTTTGATCACCAATTTAAAAATTAAGGGAAAATGATATCTAACATTATTGATCCGTTCAATTTTAGTCCCTAAAAATATCGATCCGTTCGATTTTAGTCCATCAGTCGTCAACTCATGTTCGATTTTAGTCCATCAGTGACGTTAAGGACTTAAACAAAAGGGGGCTAACGAAAATTAATAACATATGGACTTAAACCGGACAAACGGATAATGTGAGGATCATTTACCGTTAATTTTTAAATTGATGACCAAAATTAGTCAAACCATAAACAAAAGGGACTATTCACATAGTTTGCCCTCAAAAAAGAAAATTGCTACATTATAATTTATAGTAAACTTAGAAAAACCATTTTTAATTTGAAATAAAAACGACTTGATCTCAAATGGTCAATTTATTCACCCGAGTTGAGAATTCCTACCTCAACACAAAATGGGTCTCAGTAAATCTTGAACCATGATTTCATCCGATGGGATGATGAGGAAGGATGTTGTTCGCCAGCTTCTCGTTTACCTTCACCGGAAGCGGGGGCATTTGTTTCAGTACCTCTGCCAAGTCATTTAAGCTGCCAAAACAAAGCTTACTAACATTAAAATATGGATTAACATAATTCAATTAGAAAAGATTGAATTTTTTTTATTTGACTTGAAGTTAAAAAACTCAAAATTCATAATTTTATAAATTTGACTTGAAAAAATTTTGAAAATCTAATTAGGACACAACAGAGAAAGCATGGAGGCAACAACGTACACATTCATGATTGTGAGGATATTACCCCGGGCTTTGCATAACAGACCTATATTATCATGTATCTGCATAGAAAAAAATTAATAAGAGTGAGAAATTAGAATTAACAACTCGAAACAATGCAGGGTAGATTTGCGTGTGCACACGATTATTGAGGAAAATATACAATAATTAAGAGAGTATATTTCACCTGGGAAGCTGAAAAATTTGCTGAAATTTGACTAAACATTTGAGCATTCTGATCAAGTAGCTTTCCTGTCACACCTAGATGCAATTCTATGAACTGCATCAATAAGAGGGATGAAGAAGCTTTTATTAGGAGGGTTAAGCAGTCACCTACCTGAGCTTAAACAACAATAGGCTAGAACCTGGAGTAGAAACACCTAATACCATCCAGGAATATCTAAAACAACCCAGATATTTAGTGTGGCTACTCACGCAGAAGATATGTTAGTGTTGACCATGTTAGGAAGTAGCCCTTATTTGAGACGGGGCATGTTTCACTTTCAACCGCATGTAGTTTTGTGTAACTTTAGGGTTAATGTATCTCATAATAAATTATACAAACACCTTATAGACACAGTACATAATCCCATTACTGTTTTATATATATGCCCTGCTTATATTACATCAACTATTCTCAATTTATTCTCCTGCTTCTTGAGAAGCACCCTATTGCAAGAATTTCAATATGCAAACATACCATCTTCAATCATTGGTAAAATTAAATTCATTGAGAGAACAAAAAAACTGGTAAAGTTACGGCACATGAAGGGCAATTTCTTTCAAGAAATAATAATAGGGATTGAACTTCCTTGTGAAGTTATACTTCAAAGGACCAATTATGAAACGTAAAGCAGTGTAGACTTACATTGCACGGATTGACCATACTGGCATACAAATTTAGACAAACATACCTTTTTGTCTTTGATTTTCCTCGCTGAACTATGATCCTCTTTCCTTTGTTTGCCATTTTCCTTCTGCAAACAGATTCAACTAGGTGATTGTTTAACATCCAAAAACAATGAACATTCATATGCATGTTTATTATACAAATAGATGCTTTGGAAGACAACTACAGGTGTTATACTTATCATGAAATCCTCAAAGCTTGGACCCAAAGCTTCAACAAAATACAATTTGAAGTGACCAACTTACAGTCATCCATCTGCAACGCAGTGCCACATCTCGAACTGTTTTGTCCTTCAACTCCATTGCTATCTTAGCATAGCGGACTATGGTTGAATCGGATGCATACCTGAAAATCTCAAATTCATATAATTTTAGATATTTCCTTATATTTTTTACTGATAAATTGTTGTCTCTTAAAATTTTATGAATTTCCTTAAAATATTATAGGTTCGCCCTATCATGAAATTATATATCCGTCCTTAGATTAAATCAGACGCAAGTTTAAGAAATAAACAAGGAAAAGAATTATGGGACACAAGATAATGATCTCGAAACTCCAACAAAGAATGAAGCCTGTCCACGCATATACTGCCAGAAATCAATGAATTAAAGACGGCTACATAAATTAATAAAAAAAAATGAATGGACAGCTTGGACTTGTTAAGGTGTGGAAATGAAAACAGTGAGTACAAGTTACAGAGAAGTAGAAGAAATGAAAGAAATTAAACGATAAAGAAGTTCAGAATTAAAGTGAGAAAGAGAGAGTGAGTTACTTGGCGAGTAAATCCTCGAGAGTCAGTTGTTCGTCAGGAGTCCAATTCACGGAGATGCCAGGGTTGTGTCTCAACGCGGACAGCGTATCAGCCAAGACGGCCTGGCGGTGTGCCTCCGCTGCTGTTCGAATCGACGGAAACGCCATTGGTTGTTGCAGTTGCCTTCCGATTCAACAAACCTTCCTGATTATTCCCGTTCTGATCCGCACTCGCAGCCAATAATCAAAAACAAATATATATATATAATGAGGAAGGGGATGGATTATTTGAATGAATGACATATTTTGCCTTTTCCATTTTTCTTCTGAGCGTGACAGAATATTTTTTTTCTTCTTTTAAAATATCTAATATGCTTCTTAATGTAATTTTATCTTTAATTTTACACACACGCACTAATATCTGAAGAATCAAATCAATTTGATCGAAAACTTTTAGCTATATGATTTTTTTCCTCTTTTTTTAATAATCTTTTGGTTAACAGTTTTAAAAGGCTTAATGTATAATTTATGTTTTAGATTATATTTGTTTTACTGCCGTTGTTCTTTATAATTTTTTAAAATTTTATTCAAAACACTCGATTTTTTTACACCGCTAAAATAAATGGCACATTAAGTCTCTAATATTTTATTTTCATCCAGTTTAATCTTTATAAAAAATGGTGTAACTAAATCTATTTTAAAATTATATATAAGAAAAAACTAAAGAATTAATATGTCAGGTTTAGAGTTTAGGGTTTAACATTTAATCTAACCTAAAGAGTAGAGCCTAACGATTGAATGATCGTTTTGTTATAAATCGAAAACGTTAATGAACGTATTGTAATTTTTCAAAGTCAGTTTACCCAAACTTTAGTGATTGTTTGTAATTTACCTAAAAAGACATTAATTCAATTTAGGGTAAAGTATATTAATGGTCACTGAATATTTTTGAAGCTTGCATTTAGGTCCCCCAACCTTTAAAACTTACAATACAGTCCCTAACTTTTCCGTTAAACCACAGATGACGTGGCAGTTAGATACCGTTTGCAGCTATGAAAATTAGGTTAAATTATATAAATGGTCCCACCAATTTTTTCAAGCCTGCTCGTCTCTCTCCCCAGTCCCTATTATCACTTCCTTTTCTTGCTTTCTTTCTTTTGTATGCTAGTTTATGGTCATTAAAATCTTTTTAAATCTGCTGAATGAGAAGAGTTGACAGCTTATTTAACTTCTTTTCTTGATATTGATGGATGTTTCCATATCAGGCGAATCTCCTTTTTCTTCTGCCTCTGATGTTGATAATTTAAACCACCCAATGACAGCAGACAAGGTTGCTTTTCCAAAAGGTGTTAGCTCTCCCCAGGTTGCTGGAAATCATGTTATTTCTGCTAAAAACCGCCCTAACTTTGTGCGGTTCCTCAATTTTGTAAGTGCAATTCGGTGATTTTGAATGTGCAATTAATGTATTTTTAATGTTATGAGCGCTAAAGCATTACTGAACATTCCCCCATCCCCAACACTCCAACCTTTTACACTGTAACAGTGTTTTTTTGGGTCTAATGCCCAAAAGTTTTTTTAACGTTCTCACAAACCTTTTCTATCCCTTATACCTACTGTTGGAAGTCAACAAAGGTGGGCACCGCCTGGAAATCAAAACTTTCAAATTGGGTGGGCAGAAATTCAACAGGGGCACCGTTCGGTGCCCCAATTTTTTAATTAAATTTGTAAATGGATTAATTATTTTTTTAGCCATTGCACACATTAGGGTATTTATAAGATTAGTCCTAAGCTTCAATTATAAATACCCTAGCTTATTTAGCTTCAAAATCATCCCAAAACATTTCTTTCTTCCTATACTAGAGAGCTTTCTTGTGAGTAGTGAGTGTTTTGTAAACAACTGTAAATTTTCTCTCTTAGTAAAAGATCTGCAGCAGCCGGAGACGTAAGCACAATTGGCTGAACTCCGTTATCAATTTTCGGATATTATTTTTTCGCTTTTATTTCGCATTCTCACAAATCTGGTTATAGGGAAATTACTTATACTCGGTTTATTTCCTAACAACTGGTGTCAGAGCTTTTGGTTGTGAATTCTGTCAATTTTTTGCGAGGTTACTATTCGGGTTACTATTCATGTGAATAGTGAATTTGTGAACAGTAAAATTCGATCGGCGATACGAGTTTGTCGACGGAGGTGTTCTAATACACGGCGGTTCGCAGAAATTGTCAGAAACGATCCAAACGAAGTCAGATTCGATTGGGAGCGATGGCTGCAGACGAAGGGAAGGTGAAAATTGAAAAGTTCGATGGTGCGGACTTTGGATTTTGGAAGATGCAAATTGAAGATTTTCTGTACCAGAAAAATCTATATCAACCCCTATCAGGAAAACAACCAGAGGGCATGAAGAATGAAGACTGGGCTCTTCTCGACAGACAAGCCCTCGGAGTTATCCGACTGACGTTATCCCGCAATGTTGCTTTCAACATAGCAAAGGAAAAGACCACGGCGAAGTCTTATGGCTGCTCTCTCCAGTATGTATGAGAAGCCATCGGCCTCAAACAAAGTTCATTTGATGAGACGATTATTTAATTTGCGGATGGCGGAAGGGGCATCGGTGGCACAACACCTAAATAAACTCAACACAATCACAACCCAGTTGAGTTCAGTGGAAATTGAGTTCGATGATGAAGTTCGAGCTTTAATTCTCTTATCATCTCTACCAGACAGTTGGAATGCTACTGTTACAACAGTCAGTAGCTCGTCGGAGAACAGCAAATTAAAATTCGACGATGTTCGGGATCTGGTATTGAGCGAAGAAATCCGACGGAGAGAATCGGGTGAAGCATCAACCTCCTCAGCCTTGCACACGGAGTCCAGAGGGAGAACTTCAGAAAGAAATTCAAATCGTGGCAGATCGAAATCCAGAAGGGGGGAAATCAAGAACAGGAAATAAAGATTTTACCTGTTATAATTGCGGCAAGAAGGGTCACTTCAAAAGAGATTGCCGAGCACCGAAGAAAAATATCGGCGCACAGGAATCTGCCAACATGACAGAGGAGACAGGTGATGCCATGATTCTAAGCGTCAACAGTCCGATTGAATCATGGATCTTGGATTCAGGGGCATTTTTCCACTCCACCCCATGCCAAGAAATCATGGAGAACTATATCAGTGGTGATTTTGGGAAGGTTCATCTTGCTGATGATGAAACCTTGAAGATCGTTCGGAAAAGGAGACATCCGACTAAAGCTGCCAAACCAGACCACCTGGAAGCTGACAGGAGTGAGACATATTCCTGGCCTCAAAAGAAATCTGATTTCTGTTGGACAACTTGATGGAGAAGGTTATAGTACAACCTTTTCAGATTGTGAATGGAAGATTACCAAAGGAGCACTCGTCATTGCTCGTGGTAAGAAGACTGATACTCTCTATGTAACCTCGAATTTAGAGAATATCATTGCAATAGCATATGCTGACGGAAAATCAAACCTATGGCACCAAAGGCTTGGCCATATGAGCGAGAAAGGGATGAAGATACTTTTGTCAAAAGGGAAGCTGCCGGATCTAAAGAATGTAGATGTCGGATTATGCGAGGATTGCATCTTTGGTAAACAAAAGAAAGTCAGCTTTACAAAGATTGGCAAGACTCCCAAGGCAGAAAGGTTAGAATTGGTTCATACTGATGTATGGGGACCATCCCCAGTTCCATCTCTTGCAGGCTCACTATATTATGTCACCTTCATCGATGATTCAACAAGGAATGTGTGGGTTTATTTTCTGAAGAAGAAATCAGAAGTCTTCGATACCTTCAGAAAATGGAAGGCCATGGTGGAAAATGAGACTGGTTTAAAAGTCAAGCGGTTGATGTCTGACAATGGAGGAGAGTACAGAGATAGTAGATTCAGAGATTTCTGCGCAAACAATGGGATCAAGATGGAGACAACAGTTCCCATAACACCGCAGCAGAATGGCGTAGCAGAGCGCATGAACAAACTCTGAATGAACGAGCCAGAAGCATGAGGATACATGCCGGATTGCCCAAATTTCTATGGGCTGAAGCTATCAACACTGCAGCTTACCTGATCAACCGTGGGTGTAACACCCCCAACCAGTATCCGACCCAGATACGAGTCCGAAGTGTCACATTGACTTTTCAAACGTTTATTCGTATAAAATAATGAGTAATTTAAAAACTTTTATAACATTTAACTTATTCAAAACGTTTATAAAATATATCAGAGTTCATACAATTTATATCTTTAGACTACATGCCAACTACACTCTATATACAGTGCATATATTTTTTGACCTGACATTTGGTAAGGATAACTGACCTGTCTTGCTCCGCATTACTCTTTACTCTTCTCGAAACCTACGTATGAAACAATCACACGCTAAGTCGTTGACTTAGTGAGGCATATAAAACATATAATATTTCATATAACATAAAGCATACATAAACATATACCATCATTATCATAATCTCTATCATTATCATTAAGAAACACACAAAACATCATATGGTTCATGTAACACATTTCAAACCATTTACATTTGATAACCATTTATAAACCCATCGTATACATATCACATTCAGTATGTTTGTTTAATCTCTTTATTAGCCCATGTACACTAGTGAGAACCTAAGGTATGTGAGTACATTGAGGTTGTGCACACATATGCTGTTACCACAGCTCGATCAATGTCCCGAAGGACCTATCCAGAGGTCACAAGGAACCTCGGTAACTATCCAGAGGTCATAAAGATCCTCGGCAACTGTCCATAGGTTCCGAAGAACCTAGGTAAACTGTCCATATGTTCCTTAGAACATAGGTATACTGTCCATATGTCTCGAAAGACATAGGTAATTCTGTCCATATGTTCCGTAGAACATAGGTATACTGTCCATATGTATCGAAAGACATAGGTAATTCTGTCCATATGTTCCGTAGAACATAGGTATACTGTCCATATGTCTCGAAAGACATATGTAATTCTGTCCATATGTTCCTTAGAACATAGGTATACCCTCAACTCTTGGCATGCCAACTATATCACTAGCTCTCTTATCATATACCATGGGCATTATCATTTCTAACAGTCAATTTACTTATTCATATCCTTTCTCTTATGAACATATATCTTTTCGTTTCAGTCGCGTACCAAATGTATGTGTAATCATTGATCTTATAATCACATGTTCATTCTCTTCTGTCACATACCATATGTGTGTGTAAACATATATCTCATAATCATGTATTTATGAATCTCATATCATATAATTTATGCTCTGTCCTCTTATGTTCACATGACATAATGCATACCAATCATATTCACACATGTTTTTACTCATGAATTCATACATGATAAAAATCATGTCATTCACATATTTAAATTTATTTCTTCATGTACTATAATTATAGGAAATATCACTTCTCTGGTGTTCATATGACATGTAAATCATTGTCATATCTTGTTCTCATATGTTTCCCATACATCACATATATCACATATTCATATAGGCTCACGATTTTTATCACCTATCATGTCATTTCACATATACACTTTTATTACATTAAAAGATGGACATGTAGTCTTATGTGACCTATCAATACTATCTGTTCATATAATCTCCTTTTACCTTATAAGTAAATACTACTTATTTTATCCCACCTTTCTATTTATTCTCCAAATTATTTATATCAATTCACATGGTTTATTACACAACTTATATCACCATTTTAGGTATTACAGATATCTTGTCGCATATCTTATATCTTGTCATTATATCATTACATACAAAAACATGTCAACACATATAATCAAGCATACATACATTTCATGTCATTCACATACTTATAATCAAGACTTCATGCACTATAACTATAGGAAATAGACTTATCACAAGTCCAATTTCCATATAATTCTATAAAATAAGATGTACTCACCTTAGCCTTGCTTTGATTCGATTATAATCCTTTGATTATTCCGGAACTTGTTTAGGCTCAATATCTACATAAATATATCATTTCAAAACAACTATCAGAAGCCTAAACTTTAAACTTTATGTTAATAACTTAAACCGGTTTTATGAATCAAATTCTATATTTTCATTTAGGGGGAATCGATACCCCCCAGGGGAATCGATACCCCCTGAACATACTGGAATTTTTTCGTTCAAGAGGGGGAATCGATTCCCATTCATAGGGTATCGGTTCCTCTACCCAGAAATTATATTTTAAGCTCGAAAATCATCAATTTTTCATTCAATTCTTCTATTTTAAACCCATACCATGTCATTAAACTCAACTACCATTACTTAAACTAACTTTTATCCATGAAAATCATCTATAACTTCAAAATCCTATCCTTCATATGAAATTCAAGAATCATACTTAATTTTCCATATGTTCTAAATACAATTCTAA